CCCGTCGTCCGTGATAGAGGTACCAGACACGTTGAGTTCCCTGAGGCGCGGCAGGGAGCCCAGCACATTGACGTCGGTCAGCTCCCTGCAGGCACGAAAATCTAGCCGTTCCAACATGACGCACTGCGATAAATCCCTTATCCCGTCGTCCGTGATATTGGTATCAGACACGTTGAGTTCCCTGAGGCGCGGCAAGGAGCCCAGCACATTGAAACTTCTGAGCCGCTGCATCCATTAAGTTCAAGGCGTTCCAACATGACGCACTGCGATAAATCCCTTATCCCGCCGTCCGTGATATCGGTATCAGACACGTTGAGCTCCCTAAGCCGCGGCAGGGAACCCAGTATGTTGACATCTGTGATTTTCCAGCATCCCTCCAGATCCAGTCTGCTGAGGTTGCTGCATTTGAGGAGTCCGGTGATGCGTCCCAGGGTGATGGGGTTGCGACTAAGCAGCAAGCCCCGCAGCTGTGAAAAGCATGCAAGGTCCAGGGTGCCCACCTGAAGGCATCCGACAAGGCTCAGCTGCAACAGCGTCTCCGGTGCCTGCACCTGCCGCACACACTCCGGCCCCACGGACGACCCATCCAACCGCAGCGTTCGCAGCGTGTGCTGATGCTGGTTTGCTGCGGTCAGCTCCATCAGCGCGTTGGCGGCAAAGCCCTGCCCTTGGCGGCACTCGATCACCCGTAAAGGACTCCCGGCGAGCCATCGCCCCAACGCCCCAAACTCCCTGCCCGCGTAGTTATCGGCGCGGAAGCTCCGCAACCGCGGAGCCGACCGGGCGGCAGACGTACTGGGTCCTCCCGTACCACCCCCCACAGGGCTCACGCCATGCCCATGATGCGGCGCCGAGGCGTCAAATATTCCCGTATTGAGAAAATCCATCGAGAGGTGCTCCACCGTCGGGCTGACGTCCTTGAGGATAGACCATACTCCAGCACGCGCTCTCTGCTCTTCCTCCTCACTGGCGCCAGGGTCGCGTGCGCAATTGAGGAAAACGCTCGTGATCGACGCCCCCGGCCACTGGTGTACCACCAGCCGCACTAATTTACACAGTGCGGGGAGGTGCTCGCAGTGGTCTGACTTCAGCACAATACTACCACGCGGCTTCCACCACCCTACCGGGGGCGGTTCCCCTGACGGCTCCGCTGAACTTTGTAGTAGCGGATCGGCACACATAGTGATGGTTAAACCTTGCTGAAGGTTGTGTGAAAAGGTGAATTGGCCTAGTGTGAGGCCGTGGCATTGCATTACCGCTACCCGAAAGGTCCAGCTGACGCATGCCAACATATGGGTGATACGAGGTTCCGGTGGGTAGTAGCCATCGAATAGGCAATCCAGATATGGTTTGAGGCGTAGCCTACCGCAGGAAAAATAATCCATCGCGCAGTTGACAAAACAACAAAGTAAAGATAACTAATGCTACTACTACTGTTAATAATAATAATAATGTTAATAAAACACAAGATTCCAACATTTTATGCAGTTAATGTACCACCAAGAGGCTTGATCTTACCCCGAAACCGACATCATTTGTGCAAAAAAAAAAAGCGAGATGTAAGCCTACGCAACATTCACCCACTTCTCCCTTTGTAATCATCGATCGATTGAGGTGCAGGAAAGCTGAAGCGACGACCCATGCTAGTCGACATACCGCGTGACCACGTGGGTGGGACCCTTCCTTTATCTACCCCCACCACCAATCGGATGACGTGTGGCAACCACAGGCGTATTCCCCAACTCATGGACGTCACCCCACAGTGTGAGGCGCCTTTCCTTACATGGGGTGATTTATTTAGCTATTTTAAAGTCCATAAAGTGCCGGCTCGGTGCGATTCCTCCGTCGCTAGACCTCTTCAACACGCTGCTGTCGCCGCTTTCCGCACGCGATTTACAGGATACGTCCCTTCCGACATCGCCGTCCGCTCCCACTGGTAACGACGCGACCTCGGAGACCCTTGACCTGGGCGAGCCCTCATAGCACCACCTCTCAAGCTCGTCTAGTTGCGCTCTAGTGCCCTCCGCGAGGATCTCCACACGGCCATCCGGCAGGTTGCGAACCCAACCCGTGATGCCCAGCTTCGCCGCCGCTTTCTGAGCGTGCTTACGGTAGAACACGCCCTGCACCTTACCGCTGACCAAAATACGACGGAGATGAGTCATAGATGGTGCAGTGGCGGACATTTCCCCGTGGGGCTCTTCTAGCGTTATTCGTGTTATCCCTCAAGATTGACTTACAGTTTGTAGCTGCGAGTGTGAGATGGTTGAGAAGAGAGCAGGTAGATCCGAAGAGAAGCCACAACGATTGCGTAATCGCGCGCACACACATGCACGAAGAAGAAATGCTACATTTTACAGCAAGCACAAAGTCCCAAAGCCGGTGAGTCCAACAGTACGCAAGTTCGCAGCAGAGCGATTCAACAAGTCGAGATTCTAGCAAGAAGTTTGAATTAGTTAATAAAGCAGCAAGGCAGTGTTCCCCCC